GAGCCACACCAGTTCGCTTTGCTGCCAAGCGAGCGTTGGCCCTGGAACACGCCAGTTTTGGGAGAGCCCTCTCCTTCCAGCGAAGCAATCCTTCTCCCGAGCTGTGACCCAGCACGGGGATGTGGGGCTTTTTCCCTGGTTTGGGGGCGAGCCGGGAGCCCGACTTACATCTGCGGGCAGACTCCTGGGCCAGTTCCAGGCGGTAGATGGAGAGGCGGTTGGCCCCGCCGCACGTGTTGCTCCTCTCCCCCTTGCATGCCATGTTGCACTCGGACTCGCTGGCATTCGCCGCCTGGATCTTGTGCCCACAGTAACACTCGGCGCCAAACTCCAGCCCCGCGTAGAGGTAACCCCTGGGGAGAGGGAGACAGTGGGTGGGGGGGTCAGCACATCCCCGGGCAACCCCCTGGCTCCATGGGGGTTTGCAGGAGCATCCCTGCAGCACTGCATCCCAAGGATGCGTTGTTGGACTAGATGATGGAATGGTTCAAGTGTCCCTGGAAGTGCTCAAGGCCAGGTTGGACAAGGCTTTGAGCAACCTGGTGTAGTGGAGGGGTTCACTGCCTATGGTAGGGGGGGGGATCTTGAAGGTCCTGTCCAACCCAAACTGTTCTGTGATTCTATGATCATTGTAGGTCCCTTCCAAATGAAAATATTCTATTCTATTCTATTCTATTCCGTCCCCGTCCGTCCCATTCCATTCCATTTCATCCTACTCTACTCTACTCTATTCCAAGGGCTCGGGCTCCATGGCCACGGAGATGATTGATAAAGCAGGAGACAGTGCCATATCTCACAGGCAGGGAGGATGTAAGGGGTGGTGGCAGAGCGGGAACGAGTGATGGGACCTTGGTTGCCTTCAAAGCAGGAGGGCTGCGCTGCTCGATACGGACTGGATTTGAGAGGGGGAGGGCTGTGGTGGTACCCGCAGCACAGGTGGGCACTTGCCAAGTGGAAACCCACTGGAGAGGGGCAGTGCCTGGACTGGCAAGTCCCACCGTGGGGCTGTTGGCTCTGCAGCTGGGCTCCAGCATGGAGCAGCCCTGCTGTGGCACCACCGAGGACGTGCTGCAGTTCACGGCACGCGTCCGTCACGGCGAGCATCCCTGCCACTCCCCAACGGTGGGGCCCCTCCGCGACTGGCAACGGCCCTTCACGGCACCATCCCCAAGTGCCATGGGATGCTGCATGGACTAGCTTCGGCTCAGGGGGAGTTTGGAGGCACCAAAGTGCCCACAGTGCTGCCCACCCTGCCGGGGTGGACCACAGTTAGGGCATATCCTGCGTGTGATGCCGGCAGAAAGGAGAAGACTTCTGCAGCACGGGCTCCATGAGCCTGTGGCTGCTCAGGGACGTGCTTTGAGAGCCGGGAAGGTCTGGGGAGGGTGTTTTGGTGGGGGAGAGCACTTTGGTGGGGCCACCCATGGATGAATGGAAGTGTTCAAGACCCTAAATTGGAGCCTATACAGCCCCCTACCCCACAGAACTGTGTTTCACGATGCATATCATCCCCCCCCAGATCTTTTTCCAGGAGAGGAACCCGGGGACCTGGAAAACACCAGTGAATTAAAAAAAAAAAAATTAAAAAATTAAAAACCCCACAAAATGACATAAATGTAAAGAAAAAAAGAAAGCAGGCGGGAGGTGGGGGGGGACAGCCAGGGCTGGGAACTGTGGCAGCAGCGAGATGCTGGCGATGTGCAGGAATTGATGCGGACGCGGTGCCCGTCTCCCACCGTACCGTTCGGCACAGTTGTCCTGGCAACGGAAGACCGTCATCTTCTTGTAGTCGAAGAAGGACACGCCGCGCAGCGTCCGCCGGCGAGTGTTGTCCACGTAGCAGCCGACGTACCTGGCTGGGGAGCGGGGAGAGGAGACGGGGGGGTAAGAACCAGTCGGGGCTGAGCGCCCCGAGTTCCCGGCCCGACTTGGGATTTTTCCCTAAATAGGGATGCGCAGCGACGCGCCCCGTCCGTTTGCTTTAGAAACACGTGTCCTGGGCACGACGCGCCGCTGCGAACGCCGCGAGGAAAGGCAGGGAAAGCCCAAAAACATCCGCTACGGATAGAAACGTGCCGTGGCTTTGCACTGAGGCTTCTCCTCTCCATCCTCTTCCTTCCCACCAGCCTCAAAACTGAGCAAAACTCCACAAAGAGATGAGTTACGTGGTAAAATAGCTTTGCTCTGCCTCGCCAGGGACATGGAGGTGGACAGAAGGGAGATAGATGCTTTAAAGGATATTTCCCCCAGCCAGCAGCTCATTTTTCCCAGCACTGGACACCAACGCCAAGGATGTTTGCCCAGCGCAAACGCTCGGCAAAGTACGGGCTGACACGTGCGCCGAGAGCAAACGAAGATGCCGGTAGAGAGGGAAGAGAGCTGAATAAATAGTGAGGATGAAATCGCTCATTTGACAAACGTGGCCTGTTCCAAATAACCTGAAACCAAACAGCCCTCTCCTCCCAGTGCGCCAGTCGCGACGCTCCGTCTCAGCTGTGGGATCTTGGTAGAATCACAGAATCATGGAATGATTTGAGTTGGAAGGGACCTCAAAGATCATCTAGTTCCAACCACCCT